AAGGAAGAGAATCTGAGACATGAATGCAAGAGATGAGGAAAGCACTTGTCAGTCAGGTGAGAAAATGACTCAAGTTTAAGTCCCTATCCAATAATTTTACCTGATATTCCAGTTTGAACATAGTATTTATGCACTTACATAAAGGTCAGTCATCCTAAAATGACAAGATGGGCTCTTTGGAGCAATCAGAGGTCACCATTTGATGTAGTTCTTACCTGGAAAATAGTGGGACTAAGATTCCTGAGTCTCAGGAAAACCACCCATGTCCTGGGCTGCATCAAAACAGGAGTGGCCAGTGGATCAAGGGAGGTGATTCTCCCCCTCCACTCTCCTGCCAGGAGACCCCATCTGGAACACTGTGACCACCTCTGGGACCTGCTGGAGCAAGTCCAGAGGTGGCAACGAGGATGCTCAGAGAGCTGGAGCCCCTGTCCTATGGAGACAGGCTGAGGGAGCTGGCATTGCTCAGCCTGGAGAAAAGAAGGCTCCAGGGAGACCTTGGAGCCCCTTCCAGTGCCTGAAGGGGCTCCAAGAGAGATGGAGAGAGTCTTTTTAGCAGGGTCTGCAGTGACAGGACAAGGGGTAATGGCTTAGATTAAGGGGTAAGGGCAGGTTTAAATCAGGTTTCAGGAATAAATTCTTGGCTATGAGGGTGGTGATTAGAACAGGTTGCCCAGAGAAGCTGCCCCATCCCTGTAAGTGTCCAAGGCCATGTTGGACGGGGTTTTGAGCACCCTGGTTTAGTGCAAGGTGTCCCTGTCCATGGCAGGGGGGTTGGAGCAAGATGATCTTTCAGGCCCTTTCCAACCCAAGCCATTCTATGATTCTGCGATTAAGTCTGAGCTATTTTGGGCTAAATCTAACCTGCTTTGACCACAAATCACTTTATCAAAACCTGTGCAGTTCCTGTGTCGATGTGGAAAATCCCTCTCAATTTACCAGTTCTGACCACGTGAGCAGTAGCTCTACCAGAGAAGCAAAACATCAAGCTGTGCTGGGGAGATGCTGTGAAGCCACTGTGAAAACAGGTATCTTGTTTTAAAAGCCTTGTACTCTTCATTTTTAACAGGACCAGCGTGTGCTGGTCCTGCATGATGAGGCACATCCACAAGGGATCACTGCTGTTGGAACTGCCCTGATTTACAGAGCCTGAGGGTTTCAATCCTTTAAATCAACAGGGGATAAGAAACCACTGTGAGATGGCAAGAGAGACTCCATCACACCTGAGCTCAGCCTTTAAGATCAAGGTAATGTGCATGGCACTAACCTGTTATGTGCAGTCATTAATGAGCAAGTAACAGGAATTAGAAAGGGAAGAGACTCACTAGAGCACTCAGGTTCTCCATCTGGCCAGAACAGGTCTGCTTCCTTCAGTATATCCTCCACTGATCAGACAGGATGCACCAAAGCAACCCCATTTAGGAGTGTTATTTATTTTACTTATTTATAAGACACTTAGTGAGAGGCAGCTAAAAGCTGTACACTGAACAAAATGCAAAACCTTGACAAAAATATACAGGAAAAAAAAAGCCATAAATAAGACAGTTTCAGCCAGCATTTTGGCTTCTTTTTGTGTGCTAATAGGAAAAAATCAACTAAATTAAATAACCCATGAAAATTGCAAAAGTCAAAGCACTATCAAACAACCTGGTCTAGTGGAAGGTGGCCCTGCCCATGGCAGGGGGGTTGAAACTAGGTGATCTTTAAGGTCCCTTCCAACCTAAACCATTCTGTGACCCTATGAACCTATGAACCTTCCCTATGGTCAACAGGGACAGCCCCAAAAGATTTAGAGAAAGAAAACAGATGAAAAGAATAGGAAAAATCTCCCTCTACCCCTTCACACTCCTGTAAGAGATGGCATTAAAAAATGTCTGTAAAGCTCATGACCTGGCAGGAGAGTGATCCAGTAGCACATAAAGAGAACCAGCTGTCCTGACTAAGATTTTTATTCAACACATGAGGAAGATTTCCATTTTCACAGCACAAAAAAGGAGCAGGAATCATTTATGTGTGAGATCAGCCCCAACCAGCTCAGGGCTGTAAAAATCCCCCTTGGTCAGGAAGGAAGTCCTAAAGTGCCCAAAAAGGATTTAAATCACCCCAAAGGCTCAGAACTCTGTAAAAAAAGAGTAAGGAGAGCAAAGAGGGATAAAGCACACGGTGTTTATTACCTGTGCAGTGTTACTCAATAAAATTCAATGGTGCTTTAAAATCCAGGTACAAAGTTGACTTCTTGTTTCATTAAAAATAGTCACTCCCCAAAGGTAGAAAAAATATTACTGAGATTGCCCACAACCTGGAATTTTTGGAAGCTAAACAACAGAAGCATAACATCTTGGAACAGACTGATCCAGGGAAAGGGTGGAATCACAATCCCTGGAAGTGTTTGAAAATGAGTTGACATGGTTTAGAGGGTTTGGTGGCATTCAGTCAAAGGTTGGACTTGGTGATCTTGGAGGTCTTTTTCAACCTCGATGATTCTAGCATGATCTTTAGCATCCCAGGAGGGAGAAGAACCTTCCAGGTGCATGGTTTGGTCTCCAAACACAATGGGGAACCTGAAAAACCCCAGAGAGGCTGCGGCAAGTTAGGAAAAGAAGGAAAAGAGGAGCTGTGATGGGATTTATGCAGCTTGTAGGATGTTCAACACATCATGCCCAGCACAGAAGGAGTAAAACCCCTCATATGGTATAGGGCAGAAAGCATCATGGGCATTCTTCCCCATTTTCTAACCCTAAAAGTTTCTTTCCCTAAAGTGGCTTAGCTGTGCCAAATCTTAACATCCCTCTCCTGTAAAGCTCTATCCACTTTTTGGGGAAAGACTATAAAACCCACACATATAAACTGAATGGAACTGACTTTATCAGACAAAAAATAATATGGGTGGTGAACAGAGCAACAACAGTGGAGTATCTTATGGGCTTTTCTTCAACCTGAAAGCACTTTAAAAGGCATTATAAATTCATAGATTCATAGATTTTAAAGGCCAGAGAGAGCAATTCTGATTATCCAATCTGATTTCCTCCCATAAAACTTTGTCCTATCACTCCTACATCAAGACTCCAGACTGCAGCTGGACTAAAGTATATCTTATAAAAAGACATTTGAATCTTGATTTAAAGTTTCGAAGCAAAGCCAAATCCATCAGGTCCCCTCCATAAGCAGCTCTAATGGCCAGTTATCATCGTACAGAAAGATTGAATTTGTCCAGCTTTAACTCCTATCTCCTGATCTCCTTCTGTGTGAGAACCTTAGATTAATGAGTCCTTTGCTATTTATTTGATGTCTTTCTTCCTACAGAGGTACTTACACACCATGGGTGAGTCCTGTCAGATGTCTCACACAGAAATTTGGACAGCACAGATTTTAAAGTCTGGTTTGCAGACTTCAAACAGTTGTGTCTCCATTTTTGCAAAGTAGTTTTAAGCATTTAAAGTACAGGCATTGTCATTACCTGCTTCACAGAGCACTCAACTCCGGCAACTCTTAGCAGAAAACACATCATCACCATCTCAAGAGGAGAAACAAAGGCCAAGAGAGGTTGTTCAAACCCTAATTGAATGGATTAATGCAATTCTAACAAAGAATGAAAAGAGAAACTGGGTTGTGGCATTTAAAAAAAAAAAAGATGTGCCACTCATCTTGAGGTGTTATCAGGATAAACTCCACGACAGTAGTTTTGATTACAGAACAGACATATCAACCTGGCTGGTTTGGATAATAGTTGATATCTGTAACAGCACACACAGGTTCACAGGCAGGCTGCAAAACTTCAGACTGAGCCCTCAGTTTGGAGCAGAAGTTACTGCCATTCATCACTACCACTGCCAAATTAAAACTCTTAGTGCTGGAGCAACCAAATTTGATGCTACTGCAGGTATTTCTGTGAGTTCTGGTGTAGTTGTTCACCCACCTACAAGCCAAGTACCCATGGTCACAGCTGGGAAGTTCAAGCTCCCACAGGGGCCATAATCCCTTGTTTACATGGGATGTGTGTCACCAACAGAAGGGTCACAAAACCCTTGTAGTCATGGAAAATTCGATGCTGGAATTTTCCTGGCAGTTAGAGCATACACAACTCCTCTAAAGAAGAGATGACTATGTTTTAGAAGTTTTGCTTGCCATCCTTGTTCTACAAGGATCCCTTGCTGCAAGGACTGGGGCTCTGCCTCTGGGACACACTGGGGTATTTTTACACAAACAAGGAGGCACTAAAATCCTCTCCCTACAACAAGGCCAGGCCTTTCTGCCACCCAGTCCCTACAGACACAGAACAAAACAGACACAGAAGGTGTCCAGGTGATTCCAAAGCAACTGTAAGGTTTTTTGTAAAATCAGCACCAACAAGTTTTGATTCCTGTCTGACATTAGTGTATTTTAGATCTGGGGTACCATGACATCAACTTCCATTCAGCAATGTTAGTTTACATCTGTCTGCAAGATAAATTCCTCCAGCCTAATCCAACAAAACTGATGAGCCAGACTTGTCTCCAAAGGAGGGAAGCACTCTGCATCTCCAGGGCCTGGGGATCCAGGAGCAGGAGTAGCATCTCTGCTCAGTCTACAGAGTGAAGAATAACAGTAGAGTCTTGGTGTTGGTGTTTTTATAAGGGAGATGGATGTTCTGCAAGCTCACAAGACAGGCTCTGAACACAGCAGTGCTGCAGCATATTAGAAAATAAGTCTGACTTGTTCCACCTTTCTGCACTCTAACTCCCCATTGTAACAGATGACACAATTAAAAATAGAAAAGGATGTGGTATCAGCAAGGATTGGGATATATCTGTGCCTGTTTAATGGAACATATGGTGGAATATTTTTACATCTTATAAAGGACTGTGTATTGGACATGTGCTGCTGCTCGGGAGATGCAGCAGCAGAAAAGCTGCATTAATATTTGCTCTGTGACAAGAGGAGCTGCCACACACCCTGTACAGGCACAGGAGTCATCAGCAGGACAGCACACAACTGACTGGGAAACCTTTCATTATACGCACCATTGGAGTTAATTCGGAACACGTTGGCTGAAGTCTCCTGAAAAAGCTCCTGCAGTTCGCTGGGATCAATCTGGGTGGCTGTGGAGACAAAAACAGAAGAGATATTTTAATACAGGAGGTCACTGATCACTTTGAAAGGGGGATGGGCCTTTGAAGGGGGGTGCAGGTTCCTCTTTGCTGCAGAAATTTAGCCCAGGGAGGGTGGTTTGCTGTAGTTTTACACAGTGTCTGACTGTGGAACTCGCACTGGACTGGCAGATCAGCCCCTCAGAACAGTGAAGATGCTGCTGCAACACGGTGGATAGGGGAGACTGAGACAGCATTTGTAGGAATTATTAGCAACTGGAACTCAGTTATCAAGTGGGAATATCAGAACCCCAACTGAATGAGAAACCACAATCACAGCATCACTTAGCCATCACTTCCCAGAGCAGGAGGGCAAGTGAGCGGCTCCTGCCTGCGTGAAAAGGGAGGAAGCAGCAAGCAGAGCACAACTGCTCCATGGGCTGAAAACTTGGTGGACTTCTGATCCCCAAGAGATGCTCCTCTTTTTCCTATTTCTTCCCGATAGCCCAACTGCAAAGGGCAATGAGTCAGTGCCAGGAATTGCCATTGCTATTGCTGCTGTGTTTTTGGGGTTTTCTTTTAAGCTTCATTTCTTCATTTCCCAACTTTAAACCCCCTTAAACTATCCCAAGCTTCTGTACAGCTTCACCACTCCTGACAAGGAGTGATGTGAGGTTGTCCTGGGTATACTATAGAATCATAGACTCATAGGATGGTTTGGGTTGGAAGGGACCACTTAGTTCCAATCCTCCAACCCCCCTGCCATGGGCAGGGACACCTTCCACTAGACCAGGTTACTCTGAGCCCCACCCAGCCTGACCTTGAACACTTCCAGGCATGGGCATCTACAGCTTCTCTGAGCAACCTGTGCCAGGGCCTCACCATCCTTATAGTAAAGAATTTCTTCCTAATATCTAATATAAACCTACCCTCCTTCAGCTTAAGGCCATTAATTATGGCCATATTACACAGAAGGGATATATCACTTAAAGAAGGTTTAAACTGGTAGCTTTACAGAGCCCTATTCTGTTGCCCAGCTGTGTCAGCTTTTACAGGTTTCCCAGAAGCTGCTCTACCTGAAACTTTGGTCATATCCAAAAGCACCCCAGGGCTTGTACACCTGACACACTACAGTGCCTTCAAACAGCCCCTGCTATCAGCAAGGTGCTCCTCTGAGACAAAGCATTAGAGAGACTCAAAGAGGAGCTATGATTCATATCTTCAATTTTTATAACACACTCTGCATCCCTCAACCAGATTTCCCTAAGCTGTTAAAAAGCCACATGCCCAACCCTTGCTTGGAAGAGCAGAAAGTCAGTGATGGAGCAAGGCAAAAACCCAGGAAAATGGAATAAAATGAGAACCCCACTTGATGCACTGCTCAGGTTAGTCCTGAGGATGCATCTCCTGGCACTTGAGGACAAGCTTGACATCTGAAGGCCAGATTTTCCACTGCTTCTCACACTCATGTGAGAGGGTTGAGCCCTGGAACAGCTGTTAATAAAGTCATGGATCAGCCTCTCAGGTTGACACAAATCCAGGGTATTAAATGGTGTTTCATCCAAATGCACAGGGGCTCATTGCTAGAGATTTTCCCACTTTTCTCTTCCAGCAGTTCCTCCTAAATCAGTTGTCCCAGACACCCCTTTCCTTTGCTTTATAGAGTCTGTACAACACCAGAAATGAGCTGGAGCTCCCCCTTCCCCCAGGAATTTCACTTGTTACCAACAAGATCCAGCTCTCATTAAATCACTGGCAAAAGAGCAGCACAGGATAAGATTTTTAACTCTTTACAGACAGTGATGACCCTCATTTCAGGAGGTTTTCCTTGGATTTTCAGGGTGCTGACATGCTGCGGGTTAGTTATGGGAATATGAGCAGCCAGGACATGACTTCAGCTTGGCAAAATTTCCAGTTGCAGGTGCTGAGAGGGCTGGGCCACACATTTTGTGACAGAGACTTTTTTAGATAGGTGGCAGGTTTTTTTAGTTGTTTTTTTTTTGAGGGGAGGGGTTTTTTTACCCCTTTATTTCCATTCTTTCCTTAGGAACACTGGATTTGCCTTAATGGATTTTTAGCCTGGCCCAGTGATCCTGGATCCATGTGCACTCAGGTGTTGAACAAATCCTCAGATGAACCATGAGGAACCAAACCAAGGGTTGGAAACTCCTTCAAATCTTCAATTATTACATTAAACTTCCCAAAATAATGCACACTGCAGACTTCAATGTGTCTCCACATGGGGACATTCCTACAGATCCACATCAATCATTGGTGTGGAGACATTTAAAATGCCCAAACTACCCCAAAAGTAAAGATGAAATATTCCAAATGTTGCAAAGGGCTGGAGAATCACCAATTTCATTCCAAGGACTGCCAGTTTTATTCCAAGGAATGCACACCTGCATTTTGGAGTCCCCGTGACACCGTGAGAAAGAAACACTGAGCAACACTATGAGTCCAGAGTTGTTCCATGAAGTTAAAAACTACCCAGAAATTCAGGTGCTAATTTGGGAGGGTGAGATTTATTTAAATTTATTGGTGGGACACCATTTTTCTCACCCTCTACCTCATTTCCTAATGGAAAAGAGGGAAAATGCAACAGGACAATGTGCGAGGATAGTACTGTGAGGATATGGAAATATTTTTTGAAGCCTCTGCATATTCATTTTAGCCAAATGCAAGAGGACTGTAAGATGATGAGCTCCCCATCCAAGGCCTGAAATCTCAATCCATAAATATCTACCAGAGAGCACCATATCACCCCCACAACTCAAAAAAAAGCAAATTAAATTTAAAAAAAAAAAAAAAATCAAGGCAGACAAAACCTTTGGCCAGAATTTCCAAACAATTACTTTGAAAACGCAGTTCTTGGAGAATGGTTGAGAAAATCACACTGAATGTGGCTTCCAGTTCCCTGTCCCTGGGCTTTTATTTCATGTCACAGCATGCTACCAGTTCTGGTTTTATTTTGTTTTTTATTTTACAGAAGAAAACAAAATAGTAACCAGGAGGTTATTTTAACTACTCCAATCTCGAGCTTCAACACATCAAGCCAAGATGTTGTAGCTACTCAAGGAGGATTCAGCAGCTCAAACAGATAAGTAAAACAATTTAAAAACAGGCAGAAAGCAAAGTAAAAATGCATCTGTACTACCAAGCTAAGGAAGACAACACAAGAATGAGAAGGAAAGTGAACGTGAAGTACATTTGTGCCTAATAAAAAGTTAAACATCTTTGATTACGTCAAGTGAATACTAAAATATTATGATTCTCCAAGAAGGAGTATGAGGTTTCTGATGTGCATTAAATGCTGATATGCATTAAATACATGTCCTGACACTATTAGAGTTCAGGGCCACAACTGGGAAAAAATTACTTTTATTTACACTGTGGGTCCTGGAAGCTGTGAAGGTTTTGCAGTGAATATGTTACAGAATCCCAATGCAAATCTTTCCTCCTTCACTTCCTTAACTGGACAGTTCCAAAAACATTTTTACAGTTTTTACATTTATTTTCCTCATTTGTTTTCCAGGAAAATCCCCTTGGCAGGAGACAGAACAACCCAACTTGCTCTGCTATCAGTTCCACCTTGTCCCCACCTAGCAAATAGTGACAACCTGTTGTATTTATTGCAACTCATAGAAATCATAGAATGGTTTGGGTTGGAAGGGACCTTAAAGAGGTCGTTCCAAGCTTCCCACCATGGGCAGGGACACTTTCCACTAGACCAGGTCACTCAACTCCCCATCCAACCAATTCCTAAAGCAGCAGCACCCAACAATGGCATTTATCTGCCCATTTAAATCTTATTCTGCCCATGTAACTCTTATTTCTCTTGCTTGAGAAGCTACCCAGACACCAGGTAGGTGCAAGAGATGGAAAGACGAGCTTTTCAATCCATGCTCTGCCAAAGCAAAGTGTGTCAACACACATCCTGGCCGACTGCAAGGGGAGTTCTCAGCAGGGAAAGGGATTGTAAGGAGATAATTCAACTTGAGTGTGGTGGCCTGACCATGACTGGACACCAGATGCCCACCAAAGGAGCTCTGTCACTGCCCTCCTCAGCCAGTCAGGAGGAGAAAATATGACAAAAGGTTTGTGGGTCGAGATAAAAACAGGGAAAGTAACTCAACAGTTACTGTCACAGGCAAAACAGACTTGACTTGGGGAAATAAATTGAATTTATTACCAATCAAAACACAGTGTAGGATAATGAGAAATTATCTGAAAACACATTCACCCCTCTCTTCTTCCCAGGCTCAACTTCACTCCAGATTTTCTCCACCTCCTCCCCTCCAGTGGTGATGGGACAGGGAATGAGGGCTGTAATCACTCCATCACACATTGTGCTCCTTCCTCCTCTGGGGGAGGATTCTTCTCCCTCTTCCCCTGCTCCACTGCTGGGTCCTACCCAAGGAGGCAGTTCTGCAGGAACTGCTCTATCATGAGTCCTTTCCACATGTCCTTTCCACGGGGTCAGTCCTTCAGGACACCTTTGGGGTGATACCCCGTGGGGTCACAAGTCCTGCCTGAAGAGCTGTTCCAGTGTGAGCTCCTCTCTCCACAGGTCCTGCCAGGAATCTGCTCCGGTTTGGGCTTCCCATGGGGTCACAGCTTCCTTTGGGCATCCCCCTGCTCTGGTGTGGAGTCCTCCATGAGCTGCAGGAGTATTTCTGCTCCTCCATGGACCTCCAAGTGCTGCAGGGGCACAGCTGCCCCACCATGGGCTGCTCCAGCACCTGGGGTACCTCCTGCTCCTCCTTCCTCATTGACTTAGGTGTCTGCAGGGCTGTTTCTCTCATATTCCCACTCCTCTCTCTTGGTTCCATGTAGGCAAATTCTGGCACCTTCTCACGGAAACTCTCCCTGCAACCCCCCCAGCACCAAAGCCTCGCAACATAAACCCAACACAAGGAGGTAGATCCTTTTCATAATCCATATTCCTGCAGTCCTGGAAAGACCTGTATTGCCAAGACAGGCTCAGAAGGTGTTCTGGGGATGCTTTATCC